CCTTCATCAAATAAGAAGTATTGTTGTTCATGTCCGTCTTCCTCTTAAAACAAATAGAATTTTTCACATCTTTATTTTTGTAATTAAAACGTTTTATATCTTTTAGTTCATTCAATAGTTCACATTATGTACGTAAGATCTAATCGAGTACAGATTACTTAGTACTCGTAAACATGTTGCATTTTCCTTAGTCGAATATTAACTAACCGTTGCTCCAGCAAACTCTCAATGCACTCCAGCGAAGAAGTATCCGCTGCTACAGGCAAGTCCATCTTGACTGAGACAAAGGATGTACCCTTTCTTCAGTAGTCAAGTACCGGGGAGGCCCGTTATGATTCTCACTGACTACAAGATCTTCCCACGGGAACTCCGGGCGCCCACTTCTTTTCGGAGTAGACCGAGGTCCATTATATCAATTTAGCGACACTTCTGCCTCTCTTATTCTCTTAATTTTATATTCCCTCCTGGTAGTGGCCACTGCGGCTGTTGGTCATTACACTACGATGGGGTCTTCTGTGAGGAAACGGCTGGATTATTCTATCCTCGTCATTCTCTTCTATTTCTATTTATTCGCCATAAATGATACGACAGCATTCTTGCACCATTAACCTGAGATGATTCTCTCTGAACATGATGATATGTTTAAGGGTGTATTTTGTAGATATATACGCTGGTGAAACGTAAAATTCATGTACTGAAAAGTTTTTCTTTGACCATAATGAGCTCAAGCATTCCCACTTAAGATTTTGTCTTGTACTAATTACTTTTGTATAAGGCAATTTGCGAAATTTTTTAATTGCAAGCCCCAATAATTCTTATTGTTGAAAGAACAAATAGTGTGGGAGGAAGGTCATTTTTAAAGCATGACTATTTTCAAGTCTGAACTCAAAATAAAACTGAAATGTAATCGAAAAACATTATATGCCGTTTTAAAGAACAAATGCAACAACATAATATCTACAATATTTTTTTCTCTTCTTTTGAATGAATGTTCCTTTTCGTAATGTGTACACGATTTATTGCAATAGTTTTTATTGTTATATAAACAGGATATCTAAACACCTATAAATTTTAATGCCCTATTAATCATTTGAATTCATGCAATCATAGATGTGTTGGATATACTGTTATTTTTTTGGGTAGCTACTTTGGGGAAAAAAAAAAAGATAGAAATCTGGAATAATACTTTCCAGGGAATAAATATTGTTGAAGCTTTCTCCTTATCAATTGGATTTAGGAAAAATAAGCTTGGTTCCGATTTCTTATTATTTGTGAGAGTTTCGTTTAATTTAATAACATGGTTAAGAGTTGTATGCCTCCCAAACTTTATAAATATTAAATTATTCCTGAGAACCGAAAAAAATCTTATAATGATTCCGTTGGCATTGCAGACAGTATAGATATTTTGCAGCCTTAACAAGCCTGCTCCATCTCTGCCTGTCTTGAGCTATTTCTTTCACTGAAATGTTTTAATTATCGAATTGTATAACCGTACTTCACAGAGATTATTTCAAAAATACTTCCAAAACGGACCTTACATTAATACAAGTTCTCTTCATTTATTTATTTAATTAACAAATGCATCTACCCATGCCCGATCATTAGCATACCACATTGCTTTTGGTATATGCAATTCGGGATTTTTTAAAATTGTTAATGGTATCTAAATATATTACATATTTTATGAGAAGTATTACACAATATTCATTTCATTTATTTATAAATATTTCTATCCTTTTACTCCTATTAATTATTAATTAACGACTTATTGTCTTTTCATCATTTCGAGTGTTCATGATATGATGCTTTTCCTACGTTGTCGTAAATATTTTCTCCTTTTTTTTTTCATATTCATTCCGATTCCGATTCTGACCCGATTATGCTGCTCGTCTAATTTAATTTCCTCATTTTAAAACATTGTTTACTAGATCTTTTCATTTGCATTATTGAAGCCAACATCTTTCACTTCCGAGTTGATAATTGTTCCAGTAACTGAGCCTCTTCTTTTGAAGAAATCTCAACTTTTTTTTTGGTGCGAAAGAAGATGAAACTACTGAAGAATGAAGGCGGTCTTTAGCGTAACGCTGATGCTTGCACCCAAGTATAAACATTGTGAAGTCATCCGTACCAATAAGTTATAAATCTTTTTTCTCATTGTTGTTGTTCATTCTCATCTTCCTAGATTAAATTATTAGATTGGAGAAGTTGGAAAAACAAACACAATACTCATCTATTATCTGCTCATGGTAATTATTATTATTACAGAAATAAACAGCGCTCTCGTCGATGTGGTCATTTGAATTGTAGTATTTGGAGAAATAAATTTTTTTAAAGGGTTATGTAGGTGAACATTGGCATATAGAGATTTGCTGAAGGAAGTGGTTTTACAGGAGGGTATATATATATATATATATATATATACTTTTGTTTTGTTTTTTATTGAGGAAAAAATACATTTTGCCTCAATCAAGGGCATTGAGTATTTGAGATGTAAGAAACTCATTCATACAATATATACAATTACAAAACTAATATAAATTATAACAAAAATAAGAAAAAGAAAGCTTAGTAAAACAATATATATATATATATATATATATATATATAGAGAGAGAGAGAGAGAGAGAGAGAGAGAGAGAAATAAGTTATTAATTCTGGAACCTACACAGGTTTTTTTGCTTCTTAGTACTTGGATTGTAAAGATGACGCTTTAGAGAAATTCCCCTCGCGAAGTAGGTAGAGCCTCTTTAACTTGTGCACAGGCGGCTGGCTCTACGGGGGGAGCTTTCGGGATGAAGCTTTCCTCCCCCCCCCCCACAAAATGGTAAAATGTAACCATGTTTTACAGAAAAAAATATTAAAAACTATCTCTTAAAGTATTCTTGTTCGTGTAATTATATTTAATAGGACTTCAAGAACCACTTAAACACCATTTCATATAGGTAATTAATTTCTTTCTTTTTTTTCAAATTATTATCGTTATATGTATATGAAAAAAAAAAACTCTTTCGGGCTGAAGCCTACCCCAAAATTAAATCCTGGATCCGCTAGTGACTCTGTGTACCAACAAAAACGATAGGAGTGCTTGAAAAATTCGTAAGTCTCTTCAATCTCATCCCCACCCAGCAGATAGACGCCATGCGAGTGTAATTGAAGAAGGATAAAAAAAGATAGGACACAAGGAGTGATTTTTTTATCGAACTGAATCACTGAACATCAGAGATCGTTTAAAGACAGTTCAAGATTTTTGTATGATCTGAGAAATATGTTTTTTCCTGAAGATTTTATACTCTAAGGTAACTCCTAGGTTTACAATAGTCGATTTTAAAATGAATAGATCGTTTTTAGTAAGAAGGGTACGAATATATAAGTGTAACCGATGAAGATGTAATTGATTTTACGGCATGCAGTCTCACACATTGGTTTGATGTGTTACTTTTGGATTCCCTTAGGCATCCCAGAAGGATGGGACGATTGGTAGATTTTGGAATCATCAGCAAAAATAAAGTTGGATAAAATAAATATGTGTAGGTGGTATTCATTTTATCCAACTTATTCCGACATAACATCCACCGTAATCCCCGAAAAGTTCATCAAAGTAAAATCACCACTATTTTGTGTTCTGGAACTGACTGTAAAAAAACAAAACAGAAGTTGTTGCTTACAGTCTAATATAATAATAAAGTAACAAACTCTATTTTCTATTTCTATTTATGGAATGTAAACAATCGTCTATTAATGCGTTAACCAATGGTATTCTCATCCACCGATTTTGACTAATGGTTGCCTCTTTCGTATCTGCACATCCTGAAGATTCTCGTACCCGCAGGGTTAAACTTTGACGGACTCTATTACCGGAGGACTTGATGCGCTGCTATTAACTGGAAGACGCCTGGTAGCTGCCGTCTTTACGAGCGGATCCTTTTAGTGTCCTGCGAATGCAGCTTCTTTAAATGGCCATCTGTCAGCCTTTAGAATTGATGTTTAAAATATTACGTCTTGTAGCGGAGTAAAATTTCCTAGGAATGTTTTAGCGTTATGTTAATAGATGGTATCTGGCCTTCTCTGGCCTTTCTATGACAGTTATGATTATAATGCGTGCTAAAAATTTGTTACAGCATAGGTTTATGTCATTGTATAATGAGACCTTATTCTTTGTTAGTATTGTTGCATCATGGATCCAGTTAATAATGTTTGCATATTACAGAAGAAAATTAGTTTGTTATTCTGTCTTTATCTTGATCATAAGCATTGTTAATTTTTTAAATTAAAAAATACAGAAATATCCCTATCCTTATATCACTTTTTTCCAGAATAATGTCTATCAATGATCGGTAAATCGAAGGTTTGTTAGAAAATGGTCCTCATCTAACGGACATTTATATTACATTCATTGATTTTTAAACTCCAACTTGCCTTTTAAAAAGAATGTATTTAAAAGATTATTAACACTTTGGATTTGTTTAATTGGTGAATATATGGCACAGCTGTTGAGACAGTGAAAAATAATTATTTAATTTTTTGACTGTAATAAAACACTCATCGCGAAAGGTTGCCTTCTTTTTTCAACAACGATGAGTAAGACTCCTAGAAAGGATTTTTCCTTGTAACAGTTTCCAACCGGCCATTTATAACATTGTCAGTTAAAATAAACGCCCCCTGATCAAGTTGATGGCTCAATTTGAACCCAAGGATCCCCAATTCGTCGGAATTTCCGGGACGTCCTGTACCTCCAAATCGTTTCTACAAACTCATGGCCGTGTAGGCTATTAAATTCTCCATCAGAAAGACACGACGCTGTGTGTTCGATTGGGTAAACATTAACGGAGTGTCGTTTCTCCGTCGTGATTAATGCTGGGATTAATCGAGAACAAAACATCCGACGAGATGATTAATTAGGCTCTGTAATAATTATTTCCCATTTGAGATATTCCGGTACGCGAGGGAGAACATGGTGAGGTTGGCGGTGGAACTCCTGGAGGCTACCGTAATCAGTGAGGATGGGCCGGCAATTATGTAGACTGATGACCCGACTGGCGTGGACTGATGGACTGCCGGTCCAGTCGACGTCTCAATCTGTGTGCGCAGCCTGGGGCTCTCGTCCGGGCTACCTCTCGATGGAAGTGGAGGTGTCGGTAAGAGTTAAGTAGTCGTCTTAATCATACTCAATATGGGGCCTAATGGAACCTTTATCACGTAGCAACTTTTAAATATTAACTGGATTCGAGGTAAGTAGCATTTAAACTTTTCATGCCCTCAAATCCAGTTTTTTTTTTACCATTTTAATATCTATCTGGATATTTAATTATTTTCAAAAACCTTATACATCCTTGTAAAAGACTTTCTACAACCAAAACATAAATCGTTGTCATACAAAATATAGTACAGTATTCTGTTAAGATTCATTCCAACAAACGTCGTCGTCTCTAAACTAATTGGAACGTCCTATGCTTGGAGCTTTGATTAATCGCGACAAATATAAGTCTGAGAGTATTCGGTTTCCATTAATTGTGGTCTTCGGTTTTACCGTACAGTTAGGATGATGCGTGTATGCTTCATTTACTTGCGTACATGCATGTGAATTACTCCATAACTGAAATTCATTTGGAGGGAAAAAAGAACTAATTATTAATTCAAAACTGGCTTGACTGAAAGTTTTTTTTCAATTTCATGGTTTTATACTTAATTTCTTTTCAAAATACAAAAATATTTTACAGACGAATTTTTACAAATTATTTTGAGTTCTTTCTCCTTATTTTATAAGTTTATTCCTTCCAAACTGATTAGGAAAAGGCAACATACAATTGTCAATGGGGGAAGAAACATTCAAATCAAATATGCTTAAAAGTTTGTTCCTGCGTTTGTTGTACAGTGCCTTCAAACAGTTGTTAATATTTCAACAGAAAGCTATTCTTTATTGATTTACGTTTACTGCTCTATTCCTCTGACCCATAGCCTGACATCACAAACCCTATAGTCACATCACCCTCTAGGTCCTGAAATTTAATACAACCGCTTATGTATTAGTGTAGGTTACCGTTCATTTAGTTTACATAAATATATATAATAATATATTGTATGTATTATATTACGCTGTGTATGGCCAGCTCTTTTATCTCTTAAGCCCAGCTCATTTCAAGTACCATGCTGATGCCGTCCTCAACAGCAGTATCCCGGCTTCTTTACTTTCCAGACTCTTGTTCTTTCTTATCTGTATTTTTTTATTATCATTTTTTGTTTTTAAAAAAAGATATTAATTAGTCTTTTAAAATCGCAATCACAAAAAACTAATATGTCAGTAAATTGTATTATGGTTGTGCAGGAATTCATATTTCAACTAAAATTGTTCTAATGTCCAGTCCAAGATTTAACCTAGGAATGAACAGTAGGGCACATGTCTCAAAATATCGCTGTGCAATACATACAGCTTATTGGATTCATGGATTCATCATGTATCAAGCTGCATTTTTCACTGATGGATATTCCTCTGGTGAGACATTTTATTACATATGTTGCATGTTATTTGTTGTTACAAACGCCTACCTCCCTATTGATAGGAGTGGAACCACACTGCCGGAATGTTATTGTAGCAATACAGCTGCGGCTGTATAGCACAATAATTGCTGGACAAGCCTAATGCGGTGTGTTATAGCCCTAAGTAGCGGGGTCTTATTGAGGATGAGGAGGAGGTAGAGGCACTATCAAGGACTCGAACCCATCAGCCTCGCGGGCCATCACCGCTCTCTGCAATTAGCACCTTTCCCACGTCTTATCTTCTCTCTGTCGGCATTAGTAGTCTCTTCAGTCGACTGTACTCTATGGGGACTGGTCTGCTGTACGCTATATTGACAGTACTGCTCTTACATGGTTGTCTCTTGTGTGATTTCGTTCGTATAGTATCTCCAGCAGGAAGTTAAAAAACTCATTAGACATAAATAAGTAATCTCGCATACTCTCAGTGTAATTTTTAGATGTAGAACCTATCGACTGATTTACCTTATTGCCTGCCACTGGCTATTGATATCTGCAACACTTTTATCACAAGAGTTAACAGATCTCAAAACCTAAAAAACGTGTGACATTGGAGGAAACAAGTGATTTGATCATTGTACTCGACTTGTTGCAGAAGACTATCATGGTCTTGAGATGACTTAGGATTTCATAATAACACCTTATTTAAATCAGCTTCCTATCCAACCTTATGCTGATCCAATTTAAGGGCCACTCGTCGTCCTTCCCTATCTTTCAGTATTTGCATCAACTTCAGTAACTTGAGATTATTTATTCGATAAATATATCTTGTTTTATTTTGGACTACTTGGAATAAATATTAGTTTAAAAATTTTTTAGGTGTAATAATGATACTAGTCTATTTTACCGTTAATAAAGATACGACCTCCAACTACTGCCACCACCTCCCGATTCCTCCAGTTCTGTAGCATCCCCACCCTAGTAAGATCCTTCAGAGAAGCCTCCTGTGCGCCGCTGACATCATTAGTCCCCGGTCGGACCACTCCTGATTACAAAGCTCGGCGATAACTAGACAATGTAGCCTAACAACTAAGTCAAGGCGAGTCATCTGCTATAATATGAGATAGCGCTCTGTCCAAGGACATTTATTAAGGGTTAAATCACTACTTAGATCAATCGTTACCATTTATACTTATATATATATATATATATATATATATATATATATATATATATATTTCGAACTGGAGCAGTTCCGTTAAAAATATTCCCAGTCTGTGAAAACTACTTATTACCAATTTAAATAATTTATTTTTTCAAGCAAGAACACTACTACTAAAGTAAATATATATTTATATTCATGGTTAAATTTTTACAATATTTCTTTAGTATTTCATAATTTATCTCTATTAGATAAAAAAGTTTTATTTTATTTTAAAAGTTTTAGTGACTTTCATATTTTATTTTATTTTAGGATTAGTATATTAGGAGATAACAGGAGCTCGTCAATTATTTTACAAATTGCATACATTACAGCCGTTGATTTAATTACGTATTTATTGAACTCTTGTTATCTCTCACTCTCCTATTACAAAATCAAGTTTTTAGACTAAAAATTTGTACGAGAAATGGGTTTTTTTAATATGAGAAATTAATCGGGGTTTGCGGTCAAATAAATACTAAATTAAAATATAGTAATTACTTTAATTTTTTCCGACGTTTCGACCCACTTTGCAGGTCGTCTTCAGGGCGTAGGATGTAGTTGATTGCGGGAGGCAGTTGAAACACTGTTAAATTTTTATACTTTTTTTTTTGTTGATAAAAAATAATACAATCTGTACTACAGAATACATGTAAATTAAAGTTATAAAATTTGAGGAACGAGTAGTGCAATTAAATGAGCAGTTGTATAATTTATAAAATGGAGGTTGGTCTGCCGTTAGGTTGACAGAGTGTACCCCGCTTTTGTAATTAATTTTCAAAAAAATCAGCTTTCAAGACAAATTAACTTCATATTTAACTTGTTTATTTTCTTATATATTCTTATATTATTATAATTTATGAAATTAGTATATAAACAAATTCAGCTGATAATGTTGAAGTTACTCCAGAAACCATTAAATCTGTTTCTGAAATGAGAGTGGTTAAATTTTAAGGTGCATTTTACTTCTTTTGTTTGGGCTCTAAAATCTAGATAATTATTTTCATTGCCAAAAAAATAAGTTACATCTGATGCGATCCATCTTGATTGTTTCTCAACACGCCCTAACAGAAAGCAATATGTGGAAGGTGGAAACTTTCTGATGATTCTCCATGAAACAATGCCAATCTTCCTTGATACCAACCTTTCCGGTTCCAAGTTTAGACCACTCATTTTTCATCCATATCCTTCTGTTCTCGCACTAATTGGAGTAACTTGCGAGCGCTGATGCGTTAAGTATACGTGTTCTAATCCGTTTCCAAGAACTTAGTGTAAATCTCAGGAACGTGAGATTGATTGATCTTGAGTCAGCGAAGGAGGCTGAAGCTATTAGTAAAAGCTATGTCCTGTTCCGCCTCTTGCTCATTCTTGGGCAAATATCATTTGAAATTATATCGCAACTTATGTTTCCAATCCATGATAGGGGTGGTTAGGGGTAGGGGTGGTTAACGAGCAGCATTTGGACGAAGGATATTTCGCCCTCACCGTCACCTTAAAAGGATCACGTGTCTTTGGTTGGTTGTTAAGGGTATTGGTTAAGCAAGCTGAGAGTCATTTGTAGGACCAACAATTTTAATAGCTGCATTTATGAATTATTCCGGAGAGGAAATTGTGAATTTCAATTTTTTTGAAGTTATTGTAATATAAATAAAAAATAGAGGAGTTTCCATTAATATAACAAAACATGAAATATTTAGTCATCTTACCAACCTCTATCTCGTTTTGAATTTTGGACTTCTTAGAAAAATTCGAAGCGAATTCTATTGCGCGTTAAATCAAACAATTATACATTTAAAACCCTGTTAACTTGTAAATAATGTGTAAGTATGTTTCATAGTTTATTGTAAATTGTAACAAATGTATTTTATAAAAAAATTGTCATTATGTTAAAGTGCGTTCCTAAATTAGTTTCATTCGAATTTCTTAATTTCTGTTTTATGTTCCAGTTATATTGTTATATTCTTTACAAAACTAAAAATAATATCGATTATTTGATATTATCAAGTATTTTGTGGTGCTGGTGATGTGTTAGTATGATTATATAAGTAACATTAGGTAAATTTTATTAAATTATATATATATATATATATATATATATATATAAAATAATAGGGTCATTCAAGCTCAAAAAAAAAAAAAAAATGCCTGTCAATACAGGAACACCTTATTTTTTAAGGATATTTTTTTGACACACATTTAGTAGATGTGCATGTTTTATAATTAATTTAAAAGATAAAATACTGTATAATTATAGTAACATTTAGATCAGATCACTCCCAGAAAGAAATATAGACCAATGAAAAAAATATTATTTTTCAATGTTGGGGTGCTCCCGGTGCCGGCCTTAGACATTCGGTGCCCCGGCAAAGATGTCATCTCCTCCACCCTAAAAAATTAAATTAATTTCTTAAGCTGTTTTTTATTATGCAATATTTGAATTTTATTTCATTCAATATTTCTCTAATACAGTCACTTTATTGATAAGTTAAAATCAATTGTTTTAATATGTTATGTATTTTTTTTTTTAATTTCTAACAAGTGGCAAGTGCCCCTAAAGATCGACCGGCGCACCACTAAGTCCGCGCCCTGGGGTAATTTCTCCATTGCCGGTACTGGGCAGCTCCATCTCGAGAGCCCCTCTCATCTTATAATAAACATTAATACCACAACAATTAATAACTTGTAACTAAAACTTTTTTAGTAGTTTAAGCTATAGTCCTTATAAAAGTTGTAAATTAAAATTAATTTTTTAGAAAATGCTCTCGGATCGGAAAAATATGTAATAATTGTTAGAATGTAACTCTTCTTTGAATAATTGCTTAGTAAATTATTTTTTTCATGAATTAGTTAGGAACCTTTTTCTTTTTTAATTTTAAAGATAATTGGTTAGTTCTCAGCGTTTAGGGGAACTCATTTAACTGGTTAATTTAGGATCTTTAAATTAGAATTTTAAAAGAACACATTTTCTTCTCAAAAAAGTAATAATGAGGAACTAAAAAATCAGATGCTAAGTGGATTGGTGCTTAATGGCTTTTTTTCGTGTGGGAGTTTTAAGCTTTGAAGAGCGATTGCTTAATCCAACTATTTCGTTTTTAAAACTTAGTTTTAACATGTCTAGTTACTTATTTTATTGATGTAAATTTAGAAATCCAAAGATTTATACTTATGGTATTGATTATTTAAAATAGTCTTTATGAGGGTACCCTTTATCTTACGTCTGTACAGATTAACTGTACAGGTTCTTCTTAATCTATTGTAAAAAATGGTAGTATAAACCAGGTTAATGAGTTATTAAATATCTAAATATGGAACCAAAATAAAAAAAAAAAAGTATTTTATTTGAAATATTATCCATGAATGCCAAATCAGAAAAACTATTGCTCTTTTGAGACAAACCAGTCGTTAAGCCATTTTCGTAGATGTCATAACAAGTGAAGCACTTCTGAGCAAGTCTGTACCCCATCGATTCAAATAGTAGTCGGACGGAACCAAGTCTGGTGAGTAAGCTGTTTTTGTTTTTTTTTACTGTTATTGCTTTGTGCGATGCGATGGTTCATTATCAGGGGGAAGAAAATAAATTCTTGTAGCCATTTTTTGATATTCTGGTGAATATAAGTCTATTATATATATATATATATATATATATATATATATATATATATATATATATATATATATATATATAGGACGAAAATGTATAGCATTGGATGGACATTTTTTAAAAATGTTTGATTGGTGTGACGTGTCCAAATAATAGAATTTTCATAAACATTTATGAAATTAATAGTAGACGAATGTGAGGATAAGAAGTAAGAAATTTTTTATAACAATTATATAAAAAATAATATAACGTAGTGGATAAGAAAAGGATATAAAGAAATGGGCAATTGAAAATTGAAAATGGGCAAAATTGCCTGAAACGTCGTCGAAAAAAATAAAAATGAATTGAAGTATGGAAAGAGGGTGAATGAAAGCGTTCAATAAAGTTATTTCCGTGTAATTATTATATTTTATTAATGATATTCTAGTAGTTTTATCGATTTAAATCGATCAATCTTTGTCGATAATATTCAGTATAAACTGTTTCGTCATACTTTAGCACCTCATAATAGATCACACCCACGTTCCTTGTTCTTCATTTCTCAAATAAATATTCTCACTTACGAGTTTTTTTTTAAACCACTCAAAGCTCTGTGATTTACCAGTAGATCGCTCACCGTTATCATTCGATGCGATACTGTTATGTGAAAATTGTTTGTCAACTGTTGAAGAAACAAAACGGTGCCAATAATTCGGTTTTATGTTTATTACATTAACAACTTGGGCCATCTATGGAAGAATTCCGGTTTCATATGTACATACCTGGTACTTCTGTAGCGGGTTTCTCAATAAAATAATTTTTAAAACTATATTTTACCTCGTCTTTTATGGCAATGCACAGTACCGGTATTAGACATTTCGCGTCCCCCGGACAACGACGGACATCCTTCCACTCCAGAAAAAAATATTTATTTCTTAAATAATTTTATATGGCATAATATTTGAATTTCATTTAGTTCATTGTGTTTCTAATTCAGTTGCTTTATTAATAGGCTAAAATTAATTACCTCATATGCTCAGTAACTTTTATTTTAATTCGTAAAAAGTGGCGGGCACCCCCTTGCCGGCGCCCAGGGCAATACGCTGATACCCTTATTTTTACAGGGCGTTTAGAAGCTGTGATGTGGACTGGGAGTAAGTCCTGAGCCCACTGTAGACTGACGTTTATGAGTAACAAACACGATAATCTCGAACCTCTCTCAGTTCTACTATATTTATTTATTTATTTTTAACAATCGGAGACTTCTCAACCACTGAGGATCATTTTAGCTCTTACAAAATATTTATTACACAATGCAAAATTCAAGAATACACTTGATGAAAGTAAGAAAGATTAAACATTAAAAGTTTCTAAAAGGAAAAGCACTAAAAATAAGAAAATTAAATTATGTTAAATAATTGTGTTTTTGGAGAAACAAAAACAACTTCTTTGCCATCTCCGTATTGCTTTTTAAAATTTCGCTAATATACTTTTTGGAAATTAATTCTAATGATACGAGGATCCGAACGTTCATCATTTCAAAAGGTCCGGAGATGGTATTTAACGCCATATTACAACCAAATACGTCCTTTTTGATACTTTCTTCGACAATGAGAGGCAATAGGGAAGAGGCTCGGACCCGCGATTTGGCAGAACTCGAAGGGAGGTCGATGATCGGTTTGGGATAGCCGCCGGGGAAGGAATTAAAAGAGGCAGAGGATGATGCCGAGGTGGCTTTGTGACTATATAAAGCGTTTGGGCATTAGCGTGGAAGATGCGCTAATGTCCTGAGCATTAGGCTATCTTCAGCTCTACCGCCGATAGCTAACTGCTACAAAAGGGTACCGTTCCTCGCCAGTCTTGTACTCCTGCGTGCCCGAATCTGCTCTCAGCGGCTCCTGCATCGGTTATTAACTGAATTGATTATTACCTCCGACCTTGACTGTATTGTCGTCATCAAATATTTTAAGTAGCACTAATCTAAATAATAACCTGGTAGTTACGTAGTTTATAAATCTGTTGTCTTCATTTCTTACATCAAATTTTTGCATATTTGTGTGGAAACTATTCCATTAGAGGAATTATTTCGATAATTACCGAAAACTTCAAAAGTTATATTGTGTTTTGAAGTTCAGATTTCCATTCTGAAAGATTTTTTAATCTTTTTCTCATTGACTACTACAGTATGTCCACAAGGGCCTCTCTCTCATACTTCGGACCAAAGTACTTTATATGAAAGTATCTGTTTGAATATATGTACATATAATAGCCGAAACAATTTTTTTTTTTTTTTTTTTTTGAAGGAGATGGTCTTGTCTGAAAGAGAATTTGTAATTAATCAATTATCCGTGAATAAACAAACCCATGTGTATATTAAAATACTGAAACGTATTAACAGACTTTTACTTTTTAATTATTTTTCTTTCATACAATTCCCTACATTTTATTCATTACAGAAGCAGTGGCTATTCAATACAGTTTGTGGATATCCTTCTTTTCTTGCCAAATACTCTTTTATAGTTCTGTGACTTAGTTCGTTCATACTGGAAAACGAATCTTGACCTCATAAGCCCTTGATCACAAAAATGAGAAAAAAAAAAGTAGTTCTACAATATTGAGCCGTTTGGCGTGACCTACACTCCCAAATTTCCAAAATAACGAGGTCATATTGGACAAAAGGCCCAATATTTGTGTAGACCACATTTTTTATCGATATTGTGATCAAATTATCTTACGATTCAAGCAGAAAGCAAATGGGTATTTACGAGTTTTTAGTACCTAATTGAATAGACAAAGTTTGCCCCCCTCCAGATTGAAATTGCCGCAATTCCCAAAAGTTTCGTAAATGAAATGGTGGTATGTTACGATGTGATGAAACTATTTTCGAATTTTCAGGCGGTTGTTAATAATTCGATAAAAAGGGGTCTGTACCACGGACTATAAACTTAACAGATTGTTCCATATCGTTAATTGGTTATAAAAAATAAATAAATCAATTAAAAAGCTGTTTTTTTTAAATCAGTATCAAAGCGACAAATAATATTTAAGCAGTAATGAATTGAATAAATAAGATTACAATAAACAAACGAAATAATAAAAAGAAAATATCATTAAAAATAATTAACTATTCAATAAATTATATTAAAATTATGCTTGCCGCTTTTATATCAAATATATAATTAAGTGTTATTTATCAAAAAAAAAATTTCACACACATCTATTAAACTCTTTACAATTAATTTGCAACCCTACGAAAATTTATATATAACATTTTATATAGAAATGATGAAACTCCGAAATAAAAAAAACCTACATCTTTTCTGATTTAAAAAATAACTTTAGCACAATTCTATCTGGAACTGAATTTTAAATTCTAATTTGAATAGTATGTCGCAAATTACGTTTCAATTAATTGAATGAAATTGTTCATCCGACTCGATTAGCGGAGTCGGTTCTTAATAACACCGAATAAGCTTTAATAAATTCTCTCTTCACTCATTTTTATTTTTTTCCTCGCAACACAATTGCTAAAAGTAATGTGAGAAATACATAAATTTTAATCTATGGCCTCGCCTACTAATCGGGAGCGTTAGGACGGGACTAATGACGCCCAGCGGGCACAATCAGGAGCGCAATATTTTACTCCTCAGTTCTCACCTCACTTCTTAACTGCCTCACAAATGTCTTCTTTTACCCCAGCGGCCTTAAACTTTAAAGAGCCCTCGGAAGGACGAAGCCTCGACACAGCCCTCCAGAGATTGGTCCACAGCTTGTTATTTATCACCTCTCATTACTCCTGCGACGCCGAAGAACTAATTAGTGGAATCGTTTAAGTACTCCATGTTCTCTGGTGACCTTCGGTCCACCGGAGAACTCTGTAATTGGGTCAAAGTGGAGGTTGAAGTGTACAATAATAAATTAAATACAGTCGAACTTTCACGCTTCGGTTATCGAACCTTTTTGAGGAAACATAGCAATGGAGAAATGGTTGATTTTAGGTGATATGGTTGAAGATTGCTGTCACAGAAAAAAAAAATAAAACCTAGCCTAAGTTTCAGACCTTCTTCCGGGCTGCAGGCATGGAGGTTGTCGAGGAAGTGCCAAGAATAAAATAAATTATTTTTCCAAGGTTAAGACAAAAATTACTTCCATTTTTCTTCAGTCTTTTTAATTACATCTGCTATATGGTTTGGTTTGGGGACAATTTTACCATCATCAGAGTATTCCTATGTTTACTGAAATTATGCACATTTGAAAATTTTATAGACGTAGGCTTCCTAAAAAAAAAAAAAAATAAATTATATAATAAAAAAAAAAAAAGGTCTCTGGCTAGAATTCTTCGACCAATTTCCCAATCGTTTTTAAGAAAATTCTGAATGTCAAATAATATTTTTATTTTATGAAAAAACGAAAACCTTACAAGAATAGGAGTGTCTGAATCTCTTCTGTAAAAGAGAGAGATTTACTTTTAAATTAGGTTTAACCATTTTTTTTTTTTATATATTTGATCTGTGATCTAAAAGTAAGAAACGGAATGAAAAATAAATTATTTTCAATAACGATATCCGTGATTCGGTCACTGATAAATTTTAGTGTTGCCCAAATACGAGACCGAGACGAGTCTTGGTCTTGCAAACTCAGTCTTGGTCATGGTCTTGCGCAAGAGTCTCGCAACAGTCTTGCAGTTACTTATTAGCTTATTACTATAGAGATATCACTATCATTTTTTAGATACGAGAAATCTAACTAAAATTGAATGAAAAATTAGAGGAGTTAAATGCAAAAGTATATTGGTTATACCAATTATTAACATATTCAAGTAAATTTTTTATTTTTTTTTATGAAATGAACTCATTCTATCTCCTTTTCGTTCTTCATTTCTCAAAGTGTATGTTTATGTTGTTCAACCCTTATTTATAGTTTTTTTCATAGTTCAAGTGATTCGTTCATAGTTTTAATTGTTTTGTTCATAATTTTAAATGCTCTGTACAAAGTTTTATCTGCATTGTATATAGCTTGTGCACCTAAGGTTTTCTTTACTTTTTATTTTATTTTATCAATTTTATTTATTGTTTCAAACGTTTAGGCTAGTAATATTCTATTATTTTGTACATTATTGTTATTCTAAAGGGACTTAGTCCCAGAATAAAGTTTTTTTTTCTCTCTATCTATAATAACTAAGATTTTCAAGTATTAATAAATATTTTGCCTTAATTTTTATTTAAGAAATCGATTTTTTCTTCCAGTCCTGGTCTTGGTCTTGCAACACTTAGGCGGCCTTGTACTTTGAAAGGCCGATTTTGGGCATCACTGTTTTTTTTTTTTTTTTTTTTTTTTTTTAATCTCTATAAAACTTATTTATTGAAAAATATTACAATCTGTCTCAAGGACATTTATGTTCACAGATCACATTCACACTTTATGTACAATAAATGAAATAAATTATGCATAAAAATAATATGCTAAATTTTAAAGTTTGATAAGTTCGATGAAGTATGTTTCATCGAAGTCTATTTTCATTTTGTATTGTATATTGTATATTTTTTTTTGTATATTCTTTTTGTTTATATTATTTTTATAATTAGTGTTTTGTATTTATATTATTTAATATGCCGTGTTGCTGGTTGCAGGGCCGGATGGGGTACATGCGAGGAGGTAACATGGAGCAGCGGTGGCAGGACCTGGCCAGTCTCCTCAGCCTCCCGGAGCCCCACTACCTGAGCGGCTACCCCCCTCAGGAGCACAAACCCACCGCTGGGCTCCCCATGCCGCACCAGGAACACCACGCCGTCACCCCGTACTCTCCTATGGGTAAGTCACAGTTCTTTAGGATTGAGGTGGAAGCTACAAGAGGAGAGGGAAGGGAGTATTAGGTTGGCTTCTGAGCTGGGAACACAGTCGATTGAAATAGCAGAGTGGAGAAGTGAGCAGATATTAATTTTCGGTATTCCCTATATTTCTTCCAGATTCCAATGATCAAATCTCTAATATAACGGAAGCCGGACGTGTTATAGTTTCACATATGACTTATTCACTGATACGTCTGACAACCAGTACCAGAATTTCCTTATCATTTCTATACGTTCCTCACCATTCTACATAACTACCTATATTTCAAGGTCAATAATTGTTACTTAGCTGGAAAAAAAGTATTAGTATGGGACGGGCCGTTTTTAAAATATTGGATTTTCAAAGAAAATACCTTTGCGCATACGTGAACAAAATGCACTGTATCAAATTTGTGCACTATTATTATTTCACCCAATTTTATGCTAAATAGAACCTGTTGTTCCGAATCGTAGGCTAGTTTCTAGTAGATATCTTCATATATCCGCAAGCGAGAGTAGTGCATATAATTTGCTAAAATTGATATATAAGACTATTTCTGTAGTCTTCCTTCCACCACCTTTATTCTAAATAAAACGATCAGTTTTTGCAATGTAAATGTTAAGAATATAAATTTACGCATGCGTAAGCGATAGTAGCTGGTGGATTTAAATATAATTGATAAGGCACAATCCCTCAGGATCCCTTCATCCCATGGCTCTGGTATTAGTCCGCTCCCTTGTACTTAAATATATCATGTGTTGGTGTGTTTATTTGTAAATGTATCAAGATGAAACAGTTTCAAATTAATATATTAGGTAAAATATACCTAATATTTTAAGAACTATTTTACCGAATCCTTTGAGACCTCGAGATCATGGGTCTAACAACATCTTCGCTCCCCCGATGTGACGGATCTGGTGATCATCTATGAATCAATCCGCTCAATCTCTGAAAATTTCATCAAAATCGGATTAATGGTAAGTATATGCCATGTCCCTCACATGACAAATTTTAAGAAACCTTGTCAGTTCAGCAGATATCCAATTATAAACCTAATTCTATTCGGAAATAGGATAAGATGAGCTGAGACGAGGAAGGATGTTTAAACTAAAGATATGACGAAAATGGTTGAACTGTTTTATAGTGGATCAAAAAACGACAGGTTATCGCAATTTTTATAAAACAGTAGAAATGTTTTATCAAAACCGCCATTAGATTAATAATTTTGCAATATTTATAATTTAAAATATTTTCGTTTCCCTCTCCTCTTACTTTATATTTAGACCTTAAATTTATTTTGCTCTTGTTATTTAGAACTGATATGCAGTGCGGCTCACTGAGTAGCATTATTATGACCAAGTTCACTACATATATGTCATATGTAATAGCTAATATCTTTATTTTCTAGGTGGTAACCAATTCGCACTTATTCGACCAATTCGACTTATTAATCTAATTTTTTTTTTAATTATTAGAAGAAGTAAGAAAATAAATTGATTTTTGGATCATGAGTGTGCAATGTGCTTGACACGTGAACTCATCATGAGATTTATTTATTTTAATAACATTAGCTATCAAATAATACAAAAAAAATATATGGACATTAAACACTCATACCACTACTGATATTTTATGCAATTCAAACAAATTGAATAATTTAAAGTAACATATTTTCCTGAGGTCAATTCATTTTTTATTTGTATGTCCATCGGTCCATAAAGCAAAGGATCGGAACGTTAATTATTCAAATCTTTTTTTTAATTAAAAATGAATATTACGTTAACTCCTGAATTGTTTTTATTGGTTTTAAATAGGTATATTTGTATTTTTTTTAATTGAAAACATTCCTTTAAGAATTGATGAATATTTTGTTGAATTGATAGTGTTTGTATATTCAAAAACTGATATTTTCCTTTACAAAATTAAACTATTTAAATTTATAATTTAATAGAAGGGAAGGGAAAAATTCTGTCTTCGTAAATGTTATATCTGAGATCATCAAATTATCACTACAATTTTTGGATATGCCATAAAAGTTATCTAATTTTTATGATCAAATAAAAAATACATAACTGTTAAAAATGTATTTAATATATACAAATATATTAAACAAAACCACTACAACCCATGAAGGCTTTTGAAATCAGTACTTAGTAAGATATTACTGTTTCAACTCCAGCGGTTGTCATCAGCCGGACACGAACCCGAAACTTGAGCTTTGGAAGCCAGTGCTTACCCACTGAGCTACTCCGCTTCTATTGAAATCTTTTATAAGTTATATTAATTCCACGTTACAATTATATTACAAAAGACGTTTAAGAGGATAAAAGTTAAAAATCTATGTACGGTTTCATTTATCGTATTTGTTTGAAATTTAGTTAATTTTTGGAATAATTCGTTGCTATGACGGCAGGGTCCGGCAACGTTGGGTCTGCAGTGGCATCTTCGATGAACTTAATGACAAACGCAAGCGAACCTATGGGAAGCGAAGCTGGAGTCACGGCCTTCAAGATGGAGAATACTCACGACATGATGTACTATCAGGTATTTATTATTATTTATAATCAATTAGTATTGTTATAAATATCATTTGTAGATTTTGTATTATTTCATCATTGTTGAATTCTAACACCTTCAACCCTCGGGCCAGGGTCTAGGGATACTCATTCCATCAGAAGGTTTGTATGTTAATTACGAAGTTTAGGTTAATTTAAGTAAAAAAAAAACAACTCGTCTATGATGGAAGAGAAGTATGTCCAAATATGACGACTGTCTTAAAGAATTATTAGTCCACCAATTTGAGGATCGAAGCGGTGATTATATTGCGAAATATGTGAGATTTTCTTTTAACTTGTATATATGGGTTCAAACATGGAAGTAAAAAAAAAAAGTTTGCTTTGATATTTTTTAATTTCACCAAATCTGAACGGTGCATCCAAGTGAAAAATTGACTCTCTAAGAAATTAAAGTACCCCTAATCGTGTGTCGAATGAATACCTTACCAAAATAATTTGGTTGAATGGTATAGTCGAAAATCATTGTCAACGAACGATGATTTATACCAAAGTTGTCTAATACTGATACATATTACTATAAATATCTCTGCAGCCTGGAAATGGGTTCTCATGGAGAAAAAGCTCATGGTTCACTGAATACCAAATTTTTTTATGTAGGTCATTTACACCTCTGGATTGGATCTTCTCTTCTTCATGAAATTAAGTGAGCCCTTTGTTTGTCGAAATCCATCATTGATCGCTGCTGAGAGATAGAAAAGAGATTTATTTATCTGCATATAGTAGATTCTGAACAAGGATAACTCAGTAGAAATATTGGAAATAAACTCTGTTACTGTTTAAGTCAGGGGTACCCAGAAGGAGGTTTCATGGTACAAGTTGCGCCATCAAAATTTTTGAGGGAGCCATATTTTGACGGGTTTTTTGAATTTTTGAGGGGGAGGGGGAATTTTTGCGGTCATGAGTTTTCGGACTAAGGGACAAGAGAAAAACATGGAACATACGGCAGCAAATGTATATGATCTACAATGTTTCTAATTCTACCTTAGTTTGCTGTTTTTAAGAAAAGTTGAGCAATAAAATATCTTGGGAGGAGGGGGAAGGTTCTTGCGTCACCAATCTTGGGGAGGGGGATGGGCACTCCGGGTTGAAGTATTGTAAGTCAATTTCCAGCCATCGGTAGATTACCAATTTTGAAAATATGGACTTTTTTGTTCTGAAAATATGTTTATGATGGAGTATTGTTCGTCGTTTTTTCGTTATTTCAGTGATCCATATCCCATAGCATTTCAAATCTCTCCACCTAATATATTATCAGGTTGATTTTTATTAAACTGTTGTTGGCTGTTAATTAGTTGATATTTTCCAACCCTGTCCTGGTGTTGATTGATGGCCTGGGCTAGTTGAAGGTATTATTAAGCTAGCAATAGATCGGCAGCTCGAGGTTACCTCCTGAATTGATTCGTTAGCGGTGTTAAATAGCCTGCCTTTCATCAATTCTTACATCTTACATATAGATACTCTCCCTTGGAGTATGTTGCAATGACTTCTTCCTCGTTTGCCATCATATGTTTCCTCTTCTTAAACATCGGACAGATGTTATCAAATCAAATAGATTGGTTGAAAATTGTAAAATTTTCCATGGAAAGTTTCATATTGTCATTATATATTACATTTCTCTCCCCTTTGCATTTCCTTTGACACGCATATGTATGCTCTGAGTTGTACCATTTATGAAGAACCTTTCTCAGTAATTTTCTATCTTTAAAACTAATAAAGTCTCAGTTTCTTTGCTTCTCGCATAAATAAAACCTGGTAGTTCGTAGAAGGTTGTATTTTTCGTATGATCATCATTCATAGAAAACAGTCCATCTATTTGGCATTGGTTTTTCTCAGAATCTGAACGCAATGACAGCTGAGACCCGTCAAGATCTGTGATTTTTTTTTTCTATTTGTGATTTCAGAGTTCGATCAGAACCGAAATAATTTTAAGAGAACTTTTTCATTAGCCTTTATGTTACAACAAAATCACATACTTGATTATAAACTATGAAGTACGTCCTTCCTTTCCACCATGGATCGATTTTCTGTTCTTAGCGGTTCTGAGACCTTTACAATTTTTTTGTTTCACAGATGCAGGCGTATGTAGATTGTATCTGTGTGTTTCATTATAGATTTTCATCGTTAACTTAAGTGATTCGATTGATTTGGTGGAAATGTTTCAAGCATTTAATTTATTTTCATTGATAATCAGCAGTAGTCATGTTGATTTTATTTATTTTGTGGTCCATTTTCCCGTATTAGCTATTGCCCTCCTCTTAATTGTTTATCATCCCTGTTCCTGCGTACTTTACTTCATTATATATTTTTCTCGATATTATTTGATGTGAAATTTGTTTATTACGTAATATTGTGATGCTTGATCCTCTGGCAGTTTTATGTGCTTAGAGGTTACCAAAAAATATGCTCGGATAATTGCGACATTCTTTTTGTCTGCTGTTCTTTGATTTGTGAGATTTTTTTTTTGAGAATGACCATGGTATTTTGAGTACTATTATTCTTTGATATAAAACGCTACCGTTGCATAGACTGTGAATATCGATGGTCCACAATATATTAACTCTCCACCAGTTTCTAGCTCGTCTTTCTACAACTCCCCATAAAAAGAGTTTCGCCGTGGACCACGGGCGGATCTACGGGTGGTGGTGGGCTTTGGGACTGAAGCCCCCCAAAATAGTAAAATATTACCGTCTTTTATGGCAAAAAATATTTAAAAATTATCTCTTAAAATATTATTGTTCGTGTAATTGCATTTAAAAGGACTTTAGGAATCACTTAAATACCATTTCATATAGGTAGTTAGTTTCTTTTTTTTTCCAAAGTGATTATCGTTATTTTTATGAAAAAAATCTTTCGGGCTGAAGCTCCCCCCTCCCCAAAATTAAATCCTGGATCCGCTAGTGCCTTATTACAGAAATTAAACATAATTATAATTTATATTTCTTTTGATTTTATGACTAGATAGCTTTTGTTTGATTAATTTTTATTATCATTTTTTGTTTTTAGAATGGTACAAGTGAAATCAACCATAATTCAGACGGTTTTCTGTCGTCGATATTAAATGATGATGACCTGCAGCTGATGGACATGGCCATGAATGAAGGTAGGTTTTTAATTTATATCATTATTTAATAAGTATAATTATAAAATTGTATCAGTATTGCTCATACAGCTGAAGCATAGCCTGTTTCTAATCTGTTAGTTGTTATTTATTGTGTCTTAAGGGAATCATAACTGAAATTATTCGACATTTAATGATGTCACTCTATATTCATCATTGTCAAGTGCCATCTTTATATCTAATATCACAGTTGGCTGAAATTATGCGATAGATGATTGACGACAAAATTTTTAGCCACCAAAAATAATGAATAACTTTTAATACTTAAAACTTAAGTCGTTATTTATGATTAATATTTTAGGTATTGAACAATACATCGTCAATAACAACTATAATTTTTAAAAATAAGTAAATATTAAATTGAAGCAATCAATACGTGTGGGTGATCATCCATGCACTATTATTATTGAGTGGAAAATAAACAAAGTAGTTAAGAAAAGTAAACAAACTTTATCTATAGCCTTTATTAATATTATTAATTTTTTTAAAGAGTTTTATACATTTTCTTTTATCAATTTATTATTTTAAACTGGATGAATTCTGAATTCGTATCTAAATCCTTTAAAAATGTTTGTACCTCGAGAGTTTTGATTATTGTGGTTATTCAAATTTTTAATGAATTAAATTTTAGTTTAAAACCTAGGACTGAAAATTGATATTTCAATCGAATAAAATTTTAATAATTCTTAATGCGCTCTTATTCATGATTAGAGATTAACTTTTTTTTTTTTATCGGATAAATTTTCAACCAACTAATGTCCAAATCGAGGTAATATAAGCTGAATAATAACATTTCATTTTACAAAATTCTCATTTTGTTAAGCCGCAACAAAATCAAAATTATTTCTCTAAAATAAATTAGCTCTTCACCTATTTTATGTATTATGAATCCTCCTACACGGTCAATAATACTGTTCTTAAATTACTCTCATTATTTTCTCAATTCGCTATCAGTATTTATCAAATTATCTTAAGCATTGTCCCGGCAGTTGCATGAAAGTGCCTATTCGAAAAGCGTGTCTTCTGTTCTTTGAAACGCAAGCGATAAATAAAAAGATTGGCTTGGAGAGTGTGAATCAATATCCTACTTAAGGAAATTATCAAGACGGATGCAGAAAATTAAAAGAAATTCTGAGAGATAGCAACTTGTGTAATGAATCGGTTTCAATTCAATGATAAACGATTTCTCGAAAGCCGTGATTCTGATAAGACAAAATTATCCACCCACGTAAGTTTAGTAGTTACTTTAAGGCACATAACTTGGGAAGATTGTTTGAGGACATCAAAATTTTCGCGATAATGACAACAACAATCATAGGTATCGTTGAAAATGGCAAATCACTTGCTTTTATACAGTAAGGAAGTAATGAAGGGCAAGACAATACACGATCAGCAATACTGTCAATACACCCACCTACTAGAGGTGTGACTAAATATCAATATATATGGATATTCTTTAATATCATCATCATTCCTTCCTTATCGCCCAATACTACTATCAATGATTCTGTAAATATTTTAGCGTAGTGACAGTAATATTGACATAATTAGGTATTCTTTTGATAAGTGTTCGTAAAAAAATAATCTTACACTCTATCATGCCTGGGCTTTTCCATCTTAGAAACCAGAAATTTAATTAATTCGTTTTAATTTTAAAGAATATATTTGGCCAATAAAGATCAGCAGATACAGGAGTGTTAGTAAACACAGTCGCTACCACTCGAAACGAATTTCCCTTTATGTCATCATGATATCTTTTGTATATCTTAATGAATCAACATGTTTTGAGATGCCTCAAACAAAAGTGTTAGTAATAGGAAAATTAGAGTATTTAATAGCTTCGCAATTATGCGAGTCATACGATGTCTGTTTTTCAATTTAGATCTTCGGTTAAATGTTGGATAATAAAATTTATAGTTTTTAGATTATATTGTAATATATGATAATAACATTATATTATATCTTATTATTAATTTTATATCGTTTTTTTCTTCTGGAAAACAGATAAGTTTGAAAAGTTATCTTTCTAGTATTTTCAATTTTTTTTTTTTAATATTAATTGCTTACTACATTACGATTTATATTTTAAATATCAATATATGAAACAATGTCAAACTAATTTATTGCACCTGTTTAAAATTCTTCTACCCGTTTGAATTTTTCTTATATTATACTATAACGTCATTAAATTGAAAATGTATTTCCGTCAATAAAGCATTATTCCAAAATTTTATAAAATAGTTTCAATGTTGTTTTCAATAATTTTGTTATAAATTTATTTATTTTTTACTGTGATTCCTAACTTATTGGAGGCTTTGGTTGTATATTAACACGATTGGCGTCTAGATTCAATAATTAAAATAAATATTCCTCTCGGGAGAGTAATTATTTTAAATAATTTTAATGAAGCAGTATCGTAGCTGTTAACACAAAATAGTTGCAAAATTTCCAAATTAATAAAATGAAAGGTATTAAATAAAATTGTTCTTATCCTTTCCTTACTATTCTAGTAAAATCCTTCGTTACATACCAATTCCTCCTTACTTTTTACCTAATAAAATCATACATAATAACCTCATTGTTCTATATTTTGCCGATTTGGCCCAGTCCAGATATCTATTCCCCTGTAATGAACCACAGACCCATCCGAACTAGTCCTATGGCCTTGATTCCTCTTTATTGTTGCCCAAATATGAGACCGAGACGAGGCTTGGTCTTGCGAACTCAGTCTTGGTCTTGCACAAGAGTCTCCCAATAGTATTGTAGTTACTTATTAGCTTATTACTATGAAATACACGTAATTTTTTAGATAGGAGAAACCTAACTAAGCCCGAATGAAAAGTTAGAGGAGTTAAATGTAAAAGTATATTGGTTATACCAATTATTTACACACAGTAACTTAGATTGTCAAGTATTATTAACTATTTTGCCTTGATTTTTATTCAAAAAGTCGATTTTTTTTACCAATCCTGGTCTTGGTCTTGCAACAGTTAGACTATTTTGGGCAACACTATTCTTCTTCGATTCCTAATAATCTTCCCATGTTTCTGAAAAGAATATAACCTCGTAAACTAATACAGAACTTTTATTGGTGTGACCAATGGATAGTTTTTCTAAAAGTCATTTCAGATCATAAAGACCAATTCATATTTATTTGTATTTTTAGTTAATACAGTTATGATTTTTTATAAATAAAAAATAATATTAATTCAATATTTTGTAAATATGTTAGACTTTTGCACATTGACCTAAAAAAGTAAACACTTCTTTCACTTCCATTTATTATTATCATATTATGGTATTCATTTAAATCGATATTATAATTAAAAACTATATCGGTAATTGTGACGTAAATGGGCTCTCTGTTATCAATCTCCCGAGACCTTCAGAATGAGGAACCGCTTTTCTTTTACTCATCAAAACATGCCAATTCATGTGAAGTGAGATATTGGTGAGTTTGCTAGAAAAAAATATTGAGTGTCTACAAATCCTTGTCATACTTACAATTTTTTTTATCGTTAAACGCTATAATTATAACTTTTTCATTTTTATGATGATAAAATTATTTTTTATCACTTCAAATCCGTAATTGCTGATTAGTATATCAATACAGGGCCTTGGTGTAGGAACTGGTAAGTCGAAATTTTCATATATTTTTTTGTACACTTTTTCAATGAATGCTACCTTTGAAGAAAAACGAGATTAGTTCTGGACTTAATAATTATAATATAATATTTATTTAGCATACTTAATATTTATAATAATAGTCAATGTCTGCTGGTAGACATAGCTGTTTTTTCAGTTAATTTCATATGTATATCACCGAAAACCTGAGAATTTGGATTTAAGATGTTCTTGCATCAAGGTTACTTCTAAAAGCAAACACGAAAAATTCAGGATAATGATAAAGGATTGGAATACTGTGCAATGTATTTTTTTTTTTTTTTACACGTGCGTTCATTTTTTTTTTTTTTTTACACGTGCGTTCATTTTTTTTTTACAGTTGATAATGAGAATTTTGTGAATGATTAGTTGGTTTTTTTTTTTTTTTTAGAATTCCCCATTAAATAGACAATTTTTAATAAATATATTCTACTTAATCTCACAACAGTTTGTAATGGCGAAACGATTGACATGAAATGGTGATTGAGCATTAATTTCTTATTTGTTGCAAGGCTAATTTTGTTTATTCTCATCATTATGTTTGGATTTGACCGAAAAGGCATTTGTTTATTTTTTTTCTGTTTTCCGGGAAAAGTAAAAATCCCTTTTTTGCAACATCATATTATTGATATTTCATTAGATGAATAATTTAGTCTTAGTAGCTCAAGTCCTTGGTTTTTAAATTGCCTTCCATAGAATGGACAAATGTCACTTAAAACTACCTGCATGTAAAGCTTGGAGATTTTTTTTTTTAATATGCATTGCTTTCAGTTGAAATTTACAAATTTTCAGTTAAAATAGTATTGTTGCTTGATTTGATTTTCCATCTAATTTGGGTTCAATTCGACCTAAAGCTATGTTACCTCTAAATTGCTGGATTGGGTTATTATTCTGTCACACATCAAGTTGTGATGATTGGAATAATCCAAGATTATCAAAGTTAATCGATCCCAATTTAGGGTACGAATTCCCATAGTTAACTTTCAGTAAACATGACTGGGAAATAGCGCCTTATATGATTGTATATTTTTTTTACTAATCCCTACCTCACCATTTCTGGCATACAGCGGGAATAGATTGTTTTAGAAGTACAACCTAATCTATTCTCAACTAAATGGGAAGACCAAGATCCATTCCAATACGAAATAGATTTCAATTCACCCAGGCCGCTGAACTTGAGAACATAAATGCTGGCAACACCTTAACACACACGACCCATCCTGGCCTCTAAGAGGACGATTATCATTATTGATGGTGATCTTCTTAGGATGCTGTTCCGCCTGGATGTGCTCCGCGCGGCAGAGATGGATCCCCAAAGATCCATACAGCCCGCCCTCGATCCCTATCTATAAACCTTTATGGCTATTACTAAGGTAATGGATCTTTAACAAAGGTTATCACGGAAATATCTCGGTTTTTTTCTCTCTCCATTTAGTGTTCCTTATCTATTGTAG